GATTTTTGTCTCAGTATCATCCATTTTTTTCCATTTATAAATAAATATAGTCCTCAGTCTGGAAAACATACAATTCTGTCTCAAGGTCTACCTAATTTCAATTGAAATTTCAGGCCTAAATTCAATATCAACATGATGTCATTTCACCAGATTAAAGGCAACAATAAATTAAACGATTATTCTTTTTTTTAAAAAGTGCTGAAATGTGATTCCAGAATTTGAAAAATAATTGTGGCCATTCAGTGCTTTTAAGAAAATCCATCATATAGAATCAAATTGCTCTAATATTTAAAAGTAATGAATGAAGTAACTTCATTACTTTTAAATAATGCAGGTATTATATATATTAAAAGGCATTTCATATTTTCATATATCCTACTTCAAATTTAATTAGAAAACTTATACATTTGATTAGAATATAAAGAAAAATATTTTGTAAAAAAATGAGCTAATATTTCACTATTTCTTCATTCTCAGCGATAACTCCTCACAATTTGAAAGTCAGTATAAATCTAGCCAATGTAGTAGCATATTAATAAACCAGAATGTTTTTTGTTTAGCTGCAATTGTTATAGCAAAGAGTTCACAACAATAGATCATGCTCTGCTTGGTCATCAGTTTCTGCATGCAATTCAAATGCTAACTTTGACCTGTAAAAGCCATAGGGAAAAGGCCCCGTGTTCAGGGCTCAGGTCAGAAATTAGAGGAACAGAGTCACTACATAGAAGAGATGGGCAACATAAAAAATAAATAAATGAATAAAAATAAATTACAGAAGATGGGAAAAATGGAGGTTTTCCAGAAGGCATTTCTCAGGGAATAATTATTTGCCATTAAATTGTCAAAAATGATTATTAGATTATTTGTTGCTGGGTTAGATTATGTTTCCATCAGATAGATTAACACTTTACACTTTACAGTATCCTTTTATAATTTTATTATGATTTTCTTTTGTAAACTATTGTAAACTGACACTTCAAAATATTTAATTATTAGACATTTTTAGTTTTTTAACAAAGAAAAAAGTCATGGAAATAGAGACTGACACTATAGTGACTTGCAAAGTGTGTTATATGTTTCAGCTTATGCCCACAGAAGACCCAAACTATGTAGGTATCAAATGTAAACTACTTGAATTACTAGAAGAAAAAATAAACGACCTAGAAGCAACTATAGCCACTCTGAAACTCAATGAACAAAGCAAGAAATCCCAACCTAAACAAGAAGACTACACCAAAAAAAAAGATACAACAGGAAGTAAACAGCTTCTAAAAATAACCCTAGTTATGTACCAAAAGAGCAAGACTGATAGAAACATGTCATTTTTAGAACAAAACAACAACCAAGACCAAAGCTCCAACTATCTACCCTAGTTTATTCCATTGAAGCCCCTCTGGAACTGAACAATCACTTTCATAGCCTCTCCATGGAAGAAAATATACAGATACTCACAATAGAGCATTCATCAATAGTTTCTAAAAAAGAGACACAACCCAGCATTCCCATGATAGGAAGAAAAATATTCCAAACTTCCCTAGGAAAAAAAAAGGTGAATATTGGTGATAGGAGATTCAATTCTCAGGGGACAGAAACTGTAGTCTGCAGTCCAGGCAGTCAATCTTGGGAGGCATATTGTCTCTCTGGAGCAAAATTCAAAGATGTAACTGAGATTATTACCAAAATAATCAACCCCACAGATTACTATCTCTTTCTTCTCCTACACATGGGGACCAATAACACAACAATGAATCTGAAAACAATACAAGATATTACAAACAGCTAGCAAAGAAATTTAAAGAATTAGCATAAGGTGACCAACCGTCCTCCTTTAGGGAGGACAGTCCTCCTTTTGTAAGTTCTGTCCTCTCTTGAAATGTGTCCTCCTACATGTCCTCCTTTTTGATATTTGAAGACTAATCTGTAAATCTCCGTATTTGATCGATGCCGATCCGATCCATTGTGTGTGATGTGATGTATTTGTATTTGACATGACAATTCGTCAAGGCTTGGTATAGTGGGGTAAGATGCAATTATGAGGCGCATGTGCTCCACACAGAATTGTTTTGAGAGAGTGTGCCATATGCAAGAGTGCACCATGCGCAAGAGTGCGCAGCGCGCATGAATGCACCGCATGCAAGAGTGCACTGCACGCAAGAATGCACCATGCGCAAGTGGCTTTGTTTTTTTTCTCCAATTTATTTGTGTCCTTATCATTGTAAAAAAGTTTGTCACCTTAATTAGCAGCACAATTGGTGTTTAACCAGCTTGTCTTCAGAAATTGTACTATAGGTGCTTCATCATTGGAGGTTTTTAAGAAAAGACTGAACAACTACTCTTTGGAATGATATAGGGCAGGGGTCTTAAATTCAAGGGTCGGGGCTGGATGCGGCCCACAGGGAGCTTAGATCTGGCCTGCAGGACTGCCCTGGAGACACCAAAGGACCAATCTGTGGTTCCTCTGCCAGCAAAACAGAGCTCGGGAGGACCACATGCAGCCCTTCCAGGCCCCATTGTAGGCCATGACAGCCTCCTGCAACCCTTTGCCAGGAAAAACAGAGCTCCATTTTCACTGGCTGAGGGCCACAGGCATCCCCAACACAAGTGACATCAAGCTGGACACCCTCACCCTGGCCATGCCCGCCCTGGCCCCCAAAGACAAACACAACCCTGATATGGCCCTTAATGAAGTAGAGTTTGAAATAGAGTAGACCCTGGTATAGGGTCTCCTGCTTGAGCAGAGGGTTGGACTAGAAGACCTCCAAGATCCCTTCCAGCTCTATTCTGATTGATATTGATTGAATGAAGAGTTATGATGCATAAAAATAACAGTTTGCAAAGAAGCTAGCATATAGTTGTGTCCTCTATCTACTGAATTATTAGCAGAATTAAGTTTCCAGATTTTCTTTTAAGAATACATTTGTATCCTGAAATTTTCACTTTAATTCTGTCCTTCCAATCTTTAAATTTATTTTAAGAATTGTACTTCATTACCATGAATATAATTTTTCCTAGTTTGCAAAATCAATACCAACAATTTGTTCCTATTGTATATCATTATGAAATACAGCAATAATATTTTCAGCATTGCATTTCTTTCAGAAAAATGTTCCATAGACACATGCAGTAATCAAAGAATTGTTCATAGCCCAACCTGTTCTCTTCTTCACAAATGAAATAATGAAACTGTTTATATCTTAACTGAGCTAAAAAATTTACTTCCTCCATTGTAACATTTGAACATCTGGAAAATATTAATTGAAGCATTCCCGAGATGATTGAACAATTAGATGAAATGCATAATTATGATTGCAAGATAAATGTGATTTTTTTTTAAAAAAATTGAAAAGTAGAAACTAGTAATTTCAACCTATTTTGTGCGATGAAAACAGAAAAGTGCTATTATTTCCATTCAATGAAATAACAATCTATTTAAATCAGAATGGTACTAAAAACAGCATCAATGATCCCATTATCCATATTTTTAAAAAATATATATAAAGATTATCAAAAAGACAATAGCTATAATATAAGAAATGAGAAAAATAAAACTATAATGTATAAAAAGAGGAAAATAAAGAAAATGATTAAATTGAAAAGTATAAACATGATTCTACATTAAAAGTCAGAAATTGTAATAACATACATTTAAAACAAAATGCTATTAATATTTGGAAAATCATTACTAAAATACTTAGTACAATACAAACTTAAGAAAATAGTCAATTGCTAAATATTAAAATTAAATTTAAAGCTAAAATTCAATCAAAGAATTTTACATTGTACTAGCAATGTGTTTTATATTTCTATAGTGCATGTTGTCAAGACCTGAGATAAGACGCGCACGCACATGCACACACGTATCTTTTGGCATTTAAAAAAGGGCATTTGGTGACATGGTATATTTTATATCATTGATTTTTCTCCTTTTAAAAAAAAAACCTAAGTGAGCTTGCAGAAACAATTCTTACACTTTACATTTTAGATGTTTGAAAACTATCTATGAGCAATTAATGATAAAAGAGATTTCTAAAACAAGAAAAAATGCATTGGTAATTTACCAGGAGGAAAAAAAGCAGCATTTAAGATTTCTGTTCTCACAAACAAATTACCCTCACATTTCACAATAAGAATGCTTCATCTCAAGAAGAGAAAAAGGGAAATAAGTAATATGTAATGTAGATTAAAAAGTGTTATCAATATTCAGCAGAGGTTATCTAGCCGCCTATTCACAATGATTAAAGTAGCTAACCATCATGAATAGAATGTTATGAGTAATTTTCCAGGAATTTGAAGACAATAATTCTTTTTCATTTGTCAAATAAGTCAAGGGAGTGAATATATGCAATGCATCTTTTCTCCTCCTATTGTCTCCACAACAACAACTTTGTACTGTCAAAATCACCCAGCCTGACTAAGATGGGACTTGAACTCACAATCTCCTGCTTTGTAGCCTGATGCCTTAAACATTAGACCAAACATCAGTTTTTTAAATATACTATATTATTAGTTTTCAGTGAGTAACAACTGAAAAAACATTTTAAGGTATATCTTAAAAGAAACTTAAAATTATTAGGTAGGAACAAAATATTTTGTGTGTACAAATGTCCACTTTAATTTTAAATTATTGTGTTTCAAGTAAGATATTATCTTTAAAAGTCTCAGAAGCAGAAATAAAACCTGATAAATTAAAAAAGAGAGACATATGCAAGGTACATTGGCATACACAGGCACCAAAATGCACTTTTCACTCTCCTGTTCAACAATTTCCCTTGCACCTTACAAGAAATCAAGACACATTTGAAAGTAATTATTATCTTTTATGTATTAATTTACTGCCTTTAATTCTATTCTTTGTCCTAGATAACTTGTAATTGCATTGCATGTTGCATTGCATGTTAAGTCTCAAAATACTGATATGTTAAAAACCAAAAAACCTTTGGGAATGTACATTTCTGAATCTGAATTAACACTGTTAATAATGTAGAAAAACAAAACCTTACCTTTGGTTCACATTTCCTGTGACAGAAATATTTGCAAACTAAAAAGAAAAAAGAAAAATGGAATTACTTCAAAGTAATACAACACATACAAAAGTATCAGATTATAATTGTACATTCAGTTCCGAAAGTTCTCTTTCACTGAATACTGTGGATGTTCAGCCATTTCTTTGAATTAGGAGAAACCAATGGAATCTATATTTTTTCCTTCTCTTATAATCATGTAAGTAGTTCCTTTTAAAACTTCTCTATGTTCTTTTTTCTATATGAGGTTAGGCATTCACATATATCAGAATCAGGCACTCACATATATCAGAAAATAGTCAGAGTAATTGAATTGTAATTTATTTCCAAGGCAGTAGTTAAAAACCAATGAAGCTCCTGAAGACCATAAATTCTTACTGAATCATAAATTCTTACTGACTCTCAAGTGACCATGAGTGATGTAATCATGTGACTTGATCTAAGACTGAAATTGCTTTTGCAACTCAGGAAACTGAATTTAAGGAAACAGTTTAGTATATCTGTTGCAATTCTTATTTAGAAGATGAGGTTCTTGAACACTAAAGGGAAAAAATTTCCCCCAAACTGTTAATTCATAATTGGAATGACTGGGAAATTTTTAGCAGAGCAGATTCAAATAATACATGTAAATAATACATATACAAATTCCTCTCCAACAGGAAACTTTCTTAATTGACTAATACAAGGGAGGCTATATGCACTGAAAAAGTGTAAAAGTACTGCACTCAATTTTCCACCAAATTTAGAAAACTCAACAGCGGTGACAAGATTGGAAAAGGTCAGTTTACATTCCAATTCCAAAGAAGGGCAATGCCAAAGGATGTTTAAATTACTGCACCATTACACTCATTTCACATGCTAGCTAAATTATGCTCAAAATCCTATAATCTAAGCTCCAGCAGTATGTGGACTGAGAACTACCAGAAGTACAGGCAGGATTTCAAAGAGCTGGAGGAACTAGAGATCAAATTCCAACATATGCTGGATCATGGAAAAAGCTAGGGAGTTCCAGAAAAACATCTACTTCTCCTTCATTGACTATACTAAAACATTTGATTGTGTGGATCACAACAAATTGTGGCAAGTTCTTAAAGAGATGGGACTACCAGACCATCTTATTTGCCTCTTGAGAAACCTATATATGGGTCAAGAAGCAAAAATGAGAACAGGACGGAACTACTGATTGGTTCAAAATTGAGAAAGGAGTTCACAAAGCTGCATAGTCACCCTACCCATTTAACTTATATGTAGAGCACATCATGAGAAAGGCGGAACTAGATGAATCAAAAGTTGGAATTAAGATTGCTGGGAGAAGTATCAACAACATCAGATATGCAGATGATACCACTCTAATGGCAGAAAGTAAAGGGGAACTAAAGAATCTCTTGATGTGGGTGAAAGAGGCAAGTGCAAAAGTTGGCTTGAAACTCAACATTAAGAAAACTAAGATCATGGCATCTGGACCTCTCAATTCCTGGTAAATAGATGGGGAAGAAATGGAGATAGTGATAGATTTTATTTTCCTGGGCTCCAAGATCACCACAGATGGGGACTACAGCCAAGAAATTAAAAGACACTTGCTCCTGGGGAGGAAAGCTATGGCAAATCTAGACAGCATACTAAAAAGTAGAAACATCACCCTGCCAACAAAAGTGCATATAGTCAACACTATGGTTTTCCCAGTTGCAATTTATGGTTGTGAAAGCTAAGCGCTAAAGAATTGAGGCCTTTGAACTATTATGCTGGAGAAGACTCCTGCGAGTGCCGTGGACTGCAAGGCAATCAAATAAATCAGTCCTAGAGATCAACCCTGACTGCTCTTTAGAAGGCCAGCTCCAAGTTGGGTTCATTGAGGAGCAAGTGAACCTAAGGCCTCTTTAAAAATATAGAATATAAAATAATAGGATGGGAAGGGACCTTGGAGATCTTCTAGTCAACCCCATGCTCCAGCATTCGGGAAAAATGGCTGTCCAACCTCTTATTGAAAGAGGTACAGCAGTTTGACTAAAAGTCCTTGAGGTACAACAGAGCATTTAATGAACATTTGAAGTTACAACAGACACCCCCCGCCCCAAGTTACATACAATCCATTCCAAAATTATGAAATTATGCTGCAGACCTGCAGTCATTCACCATTATAACACACCAGAGCCACTGTAGTGCCCTCCCACCTCTCTCTTCTCATCTCACCCCACTGGAACCTTGAGCTCGAGTCTGCTCCCTGCAAGCCTATCCTCACTACACTTACCTCATGTTATAGAGTATCAAATCAAGGCCCGCGGGTCGGATCCAGCCTGCGGGGTGCTTAGATCTGGCTGTCAGGACTACCCTGAAAATAGTGAAGGACCAGCACACAGTGCATCCACCAGAGAAAACAGAGCTTGGGAGGCCTGTACATGGCCCTCCTGGACTCCATTTTCCCTGGCAGAGGGCTACCCCCCAGCCCCACCTGGGCCACCACAGGTGCCCCCTGACACGAGTGACTTCAAGCTAGTCATGTCCACCCTGGCCACACCCACTCCGGCCATGCCCATCCATACCCCAAGGTCAACACAACCCTGATGAGCCCCTCAATGAAATAGAATATGACACTTCTGTTATAGAAGGAGGGAGTCTATGTATCCCCAAGTCACAGGTCCACATTCAACCACTATTTTGTCTTATTCACTGTCAGGCAGGAAGAAATTGGCAGATGCCAGACAAAACTGATTTGTTTTACTGCTTTAGAGAGGTTTGCATAGTGCTGTAGAAGCTTCTGAATGCTGCAGAATGTGTCCATACCACTGCACAGATCTTTTTATGGCAGTGAAGAAATTTGTTCCCAGAACTTATGGCAGTGTCCAAATGCAACCGCCATTCTGTGGGTGGCACAAAATGGCAGCTGCTTTCAGAATTCCACCAGCTGTGCAAAGAAGTAAGGAATTCCAGCATTCTGAAAGGCCTTGGAGCTCTTTAAAAGATAAGTGAGGACAAAAGTGTTTTGTGTGATGGGAATCAGACCTAAGGCTTGGGAGGACCCAATGGGAATCGGAAAAGGCCTGTTGGAATTATGCACAGGAAGTGGAGCATGGAAATGGTAGAGAAGGGTGGTGGTGGAAGAGAAAGGTGAGGCTGGGCCTGTGCTATGCCTCTTGCTTAATAACCCTCGTTTAATGATTCACTGGGAAAAATAGGGATGTGGAGGCCATTATATAAGATGTTTCACCTAATGATTGTCTCATCATTTGACCATAATGGGAAGGCTCCAGTACAGTCACATCTCAAGACTACTCCATTTTTACAACTCTGTAGTTCCTTAATTTGAGGTAGAGTTGGGGCAACTTGATGGAGCTGAGCATTTACTGGCCAGATGCCCTTCCTGACACCATGCGAAATTCACAACATTTTTTTTCCTTTGCGCCCTAGGAGAGAACATCTGCCAATATCTAGGATTGCACTCTCAACCTTCTGAGTGGGACTACCTTTATATAAATTGAAACAAATCATTGCAAAACAACCACACAATGAAAGGTTTCAGAAGCCAGACTTTAGCATTCAACTGAAAGTCTAAAATGATTGGTATTTAAAGCAAGTCATTCAAACTCTGTTCATCTCATACTCTGACTACTGCAATGTGATCTATATAGTGCTACCCTTGAAGAGCATTTGAAAGCTTCAAACTCTGTGGAGTGCAGCAATGCATGCAATCTTTAGGGTCCCTACATTGCCCAAATTACACCATTGTTCTGCAAGGTGTACTGGCAGCTGGTTTGCTCCCAAGTGCAATTCAAGATGTTTATCGTCACCTGCATGTCATGGCTCCGGATAACTTAACTCTTAACCCTATGGAATAGGCCTGCCCCACTTGTGCCAGCAGAGGAAGCTTGCTGCAGATATCATGAGTCAGAGAAATTTCACTGGTGGGGTCCAAGAGAAGACCCTTCTCTGCTGTGGCCTTGGCCCTTTATGAAATCTTGCCCCTTGAGATGAGATTGCCTCCCACCATCCTGATCGTCCCGAAAAACTTGAATATCTGGCTCTACCACTTGGCTTGGGGCCCCAATGGGAAGTATCACACAAGGAAGTGGTTGATTAATAGCAGCTCCCACCTTCCCATCCCCACAGGACATTCTACTCTCTTCCTCTCCATTTTTGAGTTATAACCTGTATTTTTATATACACACCCACATGCACACACACACACGTGCATGCATGTATGTACGTTGTATGTATGTATGTATGTATGTATGTATGTATGTATGTATGTATTACATTTGTTTGCCTCCCATTTCACTACATGGCAACTCTGGGCAGCTTACACCATCAAACTAAAAGTGTGTGTGTGTGTGTGTGTGTGTGTGTGTGTGTGTGTGTATGATTTTATTTTGATGATGTAAGCTGCCCAGAGTTGCCTTGTAGTGAGATGGGAGACAAACAGATTTAATTAATAAATAATTAAAATTTAAAAAGCAATATAAATGCAAGGCAGTAAGGCTTACCTCTGCATGAAATACCATTGGAATTGTTTATTTGATTGCACGTATCAGAAGATTTGGCTTTTTTAAAGTGTTTACTCTTGAATATCTGAGAGTCTGAAGCTAAGTCTTCTGCCTGGAAGACAATGAAAAAACAATTTCAAAAGAAGTTAACAATATATTTAAACTAGCAAAGCTGGTGAAGCAAATAGTAAAACAATTGTAAGACAAAATAGTACTTAGAACTGTATCAAAGTGTATTATTTACAAACATATTTATAAATAAAAAGAACTGTATTTAACAGTAAATAATCTTTCACTCACATGAGGAAATAGCAGAATGCAAAGAAAGCTTTGAAGTTTATAGAAATACCAAGAAATCTTCTTTACAAGATATAAATAAGAAATGAGGAATAAGTGCATTATTTCAGTAACTGAGTTAATTCAGTAAGCACAGTATATTCAGAAGAAATGGAAAAATAATCAGGAATGTGATGATGGATTTCTTAAAAGGAAGCACCTATCCTGTTATATCCTGCAAACTTTATTGGAAATCACCACCACGCAATGAATAAATATTTTAGGTTTTAATAATTATTGATAACAAATAATATTTTTCTGAGAAAGGTGCAGGAGAGAAGGAAAGAAACTGCCTTCCTTCCTCCCAATTTTCTCTCCTGTCTAACCCTCTTTAACTATAACCCTCACCATTATTCATTTTTTTACCCAGTTGGCAATAGGAGATTGACACTACAGATATTGGACTATATAGGTAGTTCTCATTCTGTATGTAAAACTGGAACTGACAGCCTGGTTCTTAAGCAAAGGAGCTGCTTCCTTCAGCTTTCCCTTGTTTACAGACCTGTTAAGTATCATACATGCAAGGATTAGTTGAAAAGTTACTTTTTCTTCACATGGTAATTGTAACTGGTCACTAAATGAGGACTAATTATATTGCCGACTAGTCTTCAGAACATTATAAGGTTCTATATGTCTAGAGTCAAGATGTCAATCTGGCCCACATTTGGGGGCACATTTGAGGGAAACAAAAGAAAAAGAAACGGAAGCTAATTTTTAAATGCCTATCCATAAAATTCATTAGAGATAAATAGAAACTTCTTTAGAATTCATGTTATTCACAGATAAGAGTAAAAATTCTGCATTTTATCTTGGCTCAAAAGTACTACAAGGGTATGGTAGGATTCAGGCAGCCCAGTAAAAATTTTAATCTCTGGACCACAATCTTTATGTTTCCTGAAGAAAAGCTACCTTACAATTGTTGTTCTTTAATTCAGTTATTTTAATCTTATAAAAGGGATGTTGCTTTCCACCTTTAAAAGCTACTTATACATTGTTTCTTTTAAAAAGTTCCTCAAATGAAATCTCCTGTAGAATGAAAGCAGTGTATACACTTCTGCATACATACTTTTTATTGTAACACATATAAAATTATTCCTATTGCATTTTAGAATCAGACTATTATATTGCTATGATGTAATTCGGCACATTATTTAATAAAAGTCAAACTGCTGTTTGAAATTTTCAAGAATGGATGCTGAGCCAGAATATTTGTCTTTTGTAAATCTTGATTATCTGCAAAATCTTACATTGGCTGGTTATAGTCATACCTCCAGGACCCAGTAACCTGTAGAATAGAATAAACAATTTAGTCCAGTTGATGTTTAATAAATGTATTTAATTATTAGCAAGTACTGAAAGTAGCTTTTATGAACTCATGAAGAAAATGCATCATTTCAAGTATTAAATACTGAGGCTTCATATTTGAAATGGTATAGGGTCTCCTTCTTGAACAGGGAATTGGACTGGAAGACCTCCACTCAGAATCAATCAACTCCGATTTATTGCTATTGATTTTTAGGATGACAGCAGTATTGCAGAACATTGATAGGGGTGGGAAAGAATGTCACCCAATTAAAACTACTCTATATACACTTGTGACAGCTGGCAATCACATTAGGGTGTCATGTAAACACCAGCCTTAACCTATCAGTAGCAGATGAGGGAAAAGGAGATTAACTCCAGGATTATTTGAGCATTTTCTCCTAGTCAACAATATTTTATAAGCAGATTTAAGTGGATTCTTTGGGATTAACGCTCACAACTAAGACCCTCTAAAGCAATTGTCTTCTTGGTATCCTAGTTTTTTTTTGGTCTTCTGTTACACAGATGATAGAAAATGGTAAGAAAGGGCTAAAGAAAAGTAAGCAATTCTGTTGATAATGGTACGATTTTGTATTATAAAGTATTTGAAATAATAATAGTTTCATTATATTATACATACCATCAAACTTAAAATATGAATTAGATAATCACAGAAACATGACTAAGTTACAAGCCTTGGTATACAATCCCCATTATAACTGAATTCATACAACCCAACAATCAAACGATTTGCTCTATGGCTAAAGCATGATATGTGAGTCAAACCTATGTATATCTTCAAAACTTACATGTTCTGCTTCTTTTCTGCCACATAAAAGATGCATACAAACCACAACCACATAAAATTACAGCTACAGGATATGACGCCAAGTTAGTTGATTTCTTAAAATGCAGTTTCTATGTATGAGATTATTGATAGAATAGAATAACAGAGTTGGAAGGAACTTTAGAGGTCTTCTAGTCCAACCCCTCCCCCACCACTTCAGGCAAATGGTTATCTAATCTCTTTTTAAAAACTTCCAGTGTTGGAGCATTCACAACTTTTGGAGGCAAGTTGTTCCACTGATTAATTGTTCTAACTGTCAGGAAATTTCTCTTTAGTTCTAGGTTGCTTCTCTTTTTGATTAGCTTTTACCCAGTGTTTCTTGTCTGCCCTCAGGTGCTTTCGAGAATAGCTTGATTCTCTCTTCTTTGTGGCAACCCCTGAGATATTGGAACACTGCTATCATGTCACCCCTCGTCCTGCTTTTCATGAAACTGGACATATCCAACTCCAGCAACCGTTCTTTATATGTTTTAGCCTCTAATCCCCTAATCATCTTTGTTGCTCTTCTCTGCACTCTTTCTAGAATCTCAACATCTTTTTTTACATTGTGGCGACCAAAATGGATGCAGTATTCCAAGTGTGGCCTTACCAAGGCATTACAAAGTGGTATTAACACTTCACGTGATCTTGATTTTCTCCCTCTATTTATGCAGCCTAGAACTTTTAAAAATATCACCGGCTACGGCAAATCTCCTTCCCAAGCTGAAGGAAATCAACAACTGGCAGATGACCTAAATGTGTTTTACTGCAGGTTTGAAAGGAAACTACAGCCACCAATCTTAACAAGCCCCATCTCGGACACACCAATAGTCGAACCTCCCACAACTGACCCCAATTCATTGGGTTCACAACCCCTGGTGATCACAGAAAAAGAAGTTCAGGATCTATTTCACAGACAAAAGCCAGGAAAAGCACAAGGGCCAGACAAGGTATCTCCTTTTTGCTTAAAAGTCTGTGCTGACCAATTGACCCCCATCTTCACTGAACTCTTCAATAAATCACTAGTTTGCTATGTTCCTTCTTGCTTCAAATGCTCTACTATCACCCCAGTGCCAAAGAAGCCCTCCATCAAGGAACTGAATGACTACAGACCAGTTGCTCTAACATCTGTAGTTATGAAAAACTTTGAAAGGCTTGTGCTGTCCCACCTGAAAACCATCACAGATCCACTGTTAAATCCCATGCAGTTTGCATACTGAGCAAATAGATCAACATGTGATGCTTTTAATATGGCTCTGCACTACATCCTACAACACCTTGAATATCCAAATACCTATGCAAGGGTCTCTTTATAGACTTTAGTTAAGCATTCAATACCATAATTCCAGACATTCTTCTAACTAAACTAAACCAGCTAGTGGTATCTGAACACACTTGTAAGTGGATCATAAGCTTCCTAACAGACAGGAAGCAGTAGGTGAAGCTAGGCAAAATTACATCTGATACCTGTACAATTAGCACAGCCCCCACCCAAGGCTGTGTGCTGTCTCCACTTCTCTTCTCCCTATATACCAATGACTGCATCCAAATGATCCATCTGTTAAACTACTGAAGTTTGCAGATGATACAAGTGATTGGTCTCATTCGAGACAACGTATATAGACAGGAGGTTGTACAACTTGCCTCATGGTGTTACCAGAACAATCTGGAACTGAACACACTCAAAACCATAGAAATGGTGGTAGACATTAGGAGAAACCCTCCCATACTCCATCTCTTACACTACTAGACAACACAGTATCAACAGTACAGACCTTCAAATTTCTAGGATCTATCATATCTCAAGACCTAAAATGGACACCTAACATCAAACACGTCATCAAAAAAGCACAACAAAGAATGTTCTTTCTGCGCCAACTCAGAAAGCTCAAACTGCTCAAGGAGCTGCTGATACAGTTCTACAGAGGAATTATTGAGTCTATCATCTGAACCTCTATAACTGCCTGGTTTGGTTAACAAAAAATTTAAAAAAATGTTAGTTTAAACTCATATAACTTGCTGGACAACATTTAAAATTCACGGAATGACTATTATGATTAGAAGTAATACTTTGTTTTAAAAGTATAGCACAAAAGGAAAGAGAGAGCACAATGAAAAATGTGCATACCTGCACAGAAATTTAAGCATGTAAGAAAACAGGTATCTTTGTAGCAAAGGGTGTGGATGAAAGAAATTGTTACAGAAAGCAGTAACTAAAAGTCAAAGGAGCTATCACCAAGCCACTATGTTGACAGGCAACAAATTTTGTCATGCCTTTTCACTAACTTCCTATTTCTAAAGGTTAGGGGAAAGGTTCGGAGATTGATTGGATTTTACCCAACAAGGCAAAATTTGTCGACTAGATTAAAATAATAGTCAAAATGATTTAGAAATGCTAAACAACTCAACCAAAATATTTACAATTTTTTTCCACAGCTGATTTCCCCTTCCGCGCTATTTTTTTTAAGTGCCAAAATTCCAAAATTAGTTTCGGGTCATGACCAAATTGGGTTGTGACCAAAGTTATAGAGTGAATTATGGTTGTGACCAGAGGTTCTACTGTATATATTTAGAAAGTTAGAACTTAGTTCTTTCATATTTGAAGAACAGGCACACTAATTTTTCCCTTAATCTGTGCAGACTATTCT